CAGCGCAGAGTGCTGGAGCCAGCAGATGAGGGTTTCTGGTGATGGAACTGCATTGCGAAAAGTTTGAATATTTTCATTTGTTCCTCCAGTTGATACATTCCCTGACTCAATCCAAGAAACAGCTCGAACATCCAGCTTCATACTTAACAATCGTCATGTTAACCACTAAAAAAGCAACATACCAAGGCAGCCAGACGGTAAGACGTATTTCCACTTATTAGATTGATTCAATCAAAAAACAATTCAAAAAAGGCAGCTTCATAAAGGCCGTGTAGTTTCTCACTACAATGACTGCCAAATGGCTCTATTCATCAACATGCAACACCGACAGAGATAAAATGATACGAAGAAAATGCGGCCTCAAAATCACAAGCTACATACTCATGTTTCCATCGACCTAGGGGGAATCAAGCAAGCGTCATGCTCTTGCCGAATGGTAACTATTCCAAAACAATCTAATTATTTCGACATAGGCGCCCAGAAAAGAATCCAAAACAATTCACTTTTAAATTTTTGAAATTGCAAGATTGAAAATTACAAAACCATCGCACTATTTCGGGTCCTTTCCGCTGAAACTAAAACCGATTACCAAAAATAAAACGTGAAAACAAAAATGTCTTCGCTAAACATAAAGATGTTAGCAGTTTGAATTTTTTGCGCGCGCGCCTGTTGGTAGGCCTTGTCGTAATTCTATGTGTATATATATATATTCAGAAATCGTTCCATGTATTTCATTATTTTACAAGACAGAATTAAAGAAATATTTCCCCAGATAGCTGGAAGCTATGGGGGTTCTTACTTCTCAATGGATGGGTTCCTGATTGGGGAAATTGGCTGCCGCTGCCGCCTTGTCTCCCAAGCTTGTCTCCCTTGATGATTTCGCTCTTGGCTGCCGCTGCCGCCTTGTCTCCCAAGCTTCTCTCCCTTCATGATTTCGCTTTTGGCTGCCGTTGCCGCCTGGTCTCCCAAGCTTATTCCCTTCATGATTTCGCTCTTGGCTGCCGCTGCCGCCTTGTCTCCCAAGCTTGTCTCCCTTCATGATTTCGCTTTTGGCTGCCGCTGCTGCCTTGTCTGTGAAGCTTGTCTCCCTTCATGATTTCGCTCTTGGCTGCCTCTGCCGCCTTGTCTGTCCCTTCATGATTTCGCTCTTGGCTGCCTCTGCCGGCTTGTCTCCCAAGCTTGTCTCCCTTCATGGTTCCGCTCTTGGCTGCCGCTGCCGCCTTGTCTCCCAAGCTTGGCTCCCTTCATGATTTCGCTTTT